TTTTGCCTATAAATTTGAAAAATAAGGCCAAATAGCGTGTGCAATAAGCGTTATTGCGTAAATAGCCTAAAAAATAGCAAGAAAAACGTGTCACGTATTTTAGGAACTGCGCGAGTTTTTACACGCTACAGCACGTTTTCAAGTAAAAGTGCGCTATTCCGCGCTATGTAGCGCTCAGAAATACGCTTTTTAAAACACTGATCCAAACTGTAGGTTTGCGATCAGACCTGCAATTACATCAACATAAGAATCACATCAAAACACAAACTTTCTCATTTCCACAGAAACTAACAAAACTATACACTCTAATTTTATACAGAGTGAACAAAACAATGGGCGCAATACCTGCTTGTTAATGTAGTTTTCGAGATCGGGGAGAATGTCGGGGTTGTAGGGATTGACCGCGACGAGCTGCTCCACCGTGTACGCCACCGTAGGCTGATGCTTTTGGTTGGTCGGAGGATTAGACATCTCTTTGCCCATTTTCTTGTTTCAATTCAAATTTTTTTGTTCGAAATTTTTCTTTCTATTTCGCCCCGAGATTTTGAGTATCAGACTTGCAGAACTGCAGTTCAGTTTTGCTAGGGCTTTCTACCCTTTCTCTTGATATTAAAAACTCGTTTTTCCTAATAACTTTTTGATATCCCCTCCCCTATATATTAATTTTAATTCAAAATGTGCTGAGTCTAACTGACATACTCGTATGTTTCAGATTTTATGTGGCAAAATTACATGTTTGGCTTCGATAGATTTTAATTTAATAATTAGGTCCGGATTATCCATGATTATTTATGGTCATGTTACATGTATTAATTGTATTTTATTATCATTTCTTATTAATTATTATAATCATTTAATTGTAAGTGCATTTTACAAATTAATAACTTTTGTAGTATATATCAGTTTTACATATATAATATATCAAATTAATTATCTTTTGATGAACTTCAATTTTTTTTTTTTTTGTCAAAACGATAGATACTATTATAATACAAAATACACAAATGTGCGAATACACAGCAGCCAACGGCTGAATACACAGCAGGCAACAGCTGAAAAGGTGGGAGGACAGGTCAGAAGACTGCCTAGAAACCCCGCTAGCAACGCTAGAATAAACCACTCGCAACTAAACTAACACACAACACAAACAACTAAAATAACTAAAAAAGACCCCAACCGGAGTAATAAATTAATTATCTTTTGATGAACTTCAATTTAACATCCGTATTGTATGTATAAGAAAAATAAATTATATTTATCTTTATAACAATAATAAAATTATTTTTTAATATAAGTAGAAAAATAACGTTATTTATCAATTAATATATTTATATTTCAAGTAGTTATATGATATAAGTTATAAAAATTACTATAATATAACACATGTTAGTTGCACAAGCAACAAGTTTCATTTTAAAATATATAATAATATATATTTTTTTGTAAAAATGTAAATAAAACTTAAAATAATTTTTTTCATTAATTTAAAATTTTTAAAATAATTTTTCGTCAAGCACCCGTGTAATACACAGGAGTTGTACTAGTATAATTTCAGAACTGAACTTAAGTGGTAGATCCTCGCACACAGAATCAACGAGGTGAGGGAGCCATTGTCGGCGAGGGCTTTGTCACACAATGTGTGTTTAAATTACAACGGGAACCTATGAACTGACTGAAATGTTCAGTTCGTACAAAAGAACTAAAGCAAAAAATTAAATTACAACTCGAACGCGGAGAGATTTGAGCCGAGGCGATTGAAATCTATCCGCAAGACAAATACGCCCCATGTAGTGCTGACGGGTTAGTGCGTAATGTCCCCAAAGATACAACGGCTTTAACACTCGGAAGTTGTAGCACACCAGCCTTCAGAGTCCAGTCGAACAAGAATGAAGTCGAGAACCGAGAACTATGATATGATGCGTGAGGCTTTGAGAGTATCAGATTGCATGAAATATTGTATGTTCTCTGCACCTCTAAGTCCTATTTATAGGACTTCCACATCTTGAGGGAAGCCAGAAGTCACATCTGCCACTTAAGGCAGAGATAATGGGCAGTAAAATCATTC